TTCACTCTGTGTCAAAATCAAGAAACTTATATTCATATAATTAGAACTTTCAAAGTAGAAAGAAGTAGGCAATAAATATCTAAAGATTTAAAATTTCTGAATTTAGTTGAACTTATAACACCACATTGCCAAGAAAAATGAACCTTTTGCACAAGAAATTTGAATAAAATCATACCAAGATATACAAAAATGAAATTATCCAAAAGTTATTGTAAAGAAAAATATCATTAAAAAAACATATACATAAAAAGTTAGCTATGGAAGAACAAAATTATATAGCATCTTATTCCACATTAGAAAGAAAAAAAAAAGACCAAGTGTGTAAGAAACTAGACTAAATTAAAAGACTGAAAGAAAGAAAAAAAATCTGACCTCTCTGAATTTTATGCTTAGCAAACATACCTTTGAAAACTAAAAGTAAAATATTTTCTGATTATACAAACTTGAAATATTCTAATACCTCCAGATGTAGCATATAGGAAATAAGAAAGAGCCTAATTCAAAAGCAAGAGAAGTTGCAGTATGCTCCTGGATGAACAATAAAGAGCTCTCAAAATGATAGTTATGCAGTGCTATATAAAATATATTAGATGAACCTTTACTTAAAAGGTCATTAAAGATTTCTGTGAAACAGTGCCAATCTTATGTTGGGTTATACACATATTTTTTTCATATATATATGTGTGTGTGTATGTGTGTATAAAAGACAGGGAAGAAGTAATATAAAGTCAATGGAAAATAGAAATATACTTTTTAAAGTTTCTAATACTAGGAGAAAATATCATACCATGTATCTTATTTATTTTATTTTTTTGCGGAACCGGGGATTGAACTCAGGCGCTTGCGCTTGCCAGGGAAGCACTTATTCCACTGAGCCATCTCCCCAACCCCCATACCATGTATTTTAAATAAATTGTAAGTCAAAGATATAGTATAAATCTTAATACAAAAATTAAGATTAAGCAATATTCAGAAAATTAAATACTAATTAATTAAAAATTAAATGTTTCAAAACAACTGAACTAAGACAAAGTTTTCATGAAGGTAAAGAAGTACTAAGAATAAAACATAAGATAAATACTGGAATGGCAAATAAACGACCAGCACTTCTGACAGTTTGCGGATAGGATATCACACAAAGTTCTAGGGTGTTGTGGACTTGGATTTCTTTAAAATATAAGTTCAAGAATCCAATTCCTGCATCATATTGTAGTTGCATTAGGTTTTTAAACTGTCTTATTCTTTTTGCTGTATCTTTTTATATTCCGACCAAGTGTATGAAGGATCCAGTTTTTTCCATATGCTTATCAGCATTTGGCATTCTCTTTATTTATTAATTTTAGCTCTTAGGTAGCCTTTTGAGTAGTGATATTGTGGTTTTAATTTGCATGTTCTATTGATTAACAATACTATATATTTTTTCATGTGCTTTCTTGCTACCTGTATCTTCTTTTTAGTGAAATGTCTCTTTACATTGTCCATTTTTGATATGAATTATCTATTTATTTTGTAATTGAGTTTTGAAAGCTTTAGAAAATTATGGAAACTAGTGCTTTATAAGATTTATGATTTGAAAATATCTTAGCATGGTGTGTGGCTTCTCTACGGATGTTCTTAACAGTATTATTCCCATTGAAAACAGTTTTAATTTAAAAAAGTCTGATTTATCTTTTTAAAAATGAATTATGTTTTGAATTTTCAGCCTCTGTCCTTTCAATAGTCTGAGGATTTTCCTTCCTTTTTTCCCCTAAAAGTATTGAGTTTTATTATAATTTCATTGTCTAGTCAGAGCTAATGAATAATGTGTAAAATTTAGTTGGATGTTCTTTCTTTCTGACTACAGCTATACAACTTCAACAGTACCATTTATTGTAAAGGCTTTCTCTCCTGCATAGAATTGCTTTAGCTCTTTAACCACAATCACCTGGGCATATTTCTGTGAGGATATTGGTACCATATATAGTTCTGGTCAATAGATCTATGTATCTCCACCTTGGCCAATGCCATACATTCGATAACTATATTCAATAATGGCATGAAAGAGGGCACAACAATTTCCTCCACTTTATTATTTTTTTGAAATTGGTTTAACTAGTATAGTTTGTTTGTTCAGTATAAATTTTAGAGCAAACTTTTCTAAATCCACAAAGAAAAGTTTTTCTGGGATTTTGATGGGAGTGACATTAAATGTACATATTAACTTCTGAGAACTGCATTTTCACTGTGTCAGTCATGCAATTCATGAACATAAAATGTATCTTGGATCTCCTGTGATGTATTTAGTACTTTGTAATTTTTATTACACAAGTATTTTACATGGTTGATAAATTTATACCTTTTTTCATGTTTTGAGTAATTTTGGTGTTCATGTTTTTATGGAATATGTAGAAATATATATTCCTCCATTTCTGAGCATTTCACATCCCGAGAGTCAAACTTCAGACTTAAACTATTAAAAAAGTTGTATCTATACTGAGGGGTTCTATTTTCTTGTTTTTTTCCTAAATAATGCCACAGAGCAGCTATTTACAGTGTTCACAGGATATTGGGTGTATTAAGTAATCTAGAAAAAATTAAGGGCAAAGATTTCTAGAATAAATGATACTGAAGGATGATTATAACCCACTGTCATAAGTTGGTGTCCTACCTACTCTGTGACTGTGCTCCACTCATGTATTGGTTTCAATTCTTTCCTTCTTTGTTTCCTCCCTCCCTCCTGTTTTCCTTCCTCTCTAAATCCCTCCTACTATTTTTTTCTCTGTTTTCTTAATACCTTGGGATATACTACACAGTATTGTAATCTGGAACATGTATGATTTATTACATCCTTGCTCATGTGAACAGCACTTATTTCCTAGCTTTGTGCTTTGGGTGATCCCTCCACATCTATGCTAAAGGAATGTATTATTAACAACACTGTGAGAAGACAAATTTTCTATGTTTGTGTTGTTGAGTGGAAAGCATTCAACTTTTTGTCACTAAATATAACTAGCTGCAGATTTTATGTGGATTGTTTTTATTTATTGAATTGGAGAAGTTTCTATCTATTCATTTTTTTATGATTGATTTTAGCACAATGGATATTTTAAAATGTTTTACATCAAATTCTATGTTTATTAGTTAGTTTTGCACTACCACAAAATAGTGGAGCATGTTTCTTGTGAGGAAAAGAGGTTTGAGTCCCTCTCAGACCTGGAGGTTCCTAGCTGGACCCATCAGATCAGAGAGCAGTGAGGGCTGAACAGCAAGTAGTGACTGGCATGACCTGGTGGCACAGGTACTGCCCTCTAGGCTTCACTTCTCCTCCTCCTCTT